GAGACGTCAAACGCCCCCCCCCCCAAGCAGGAATGCTGGTCCAGCAGGGCCCTGGCACAGGCTCTGGTTTATAATGCCCCCTCTCCCCTCCGAGCCAGGTGGCTGATGTTGAGGAGGAGGTGGGGCAGCCAGAGGCAGCAAGGGTCTAGTCTGCAAGGCCGAGGGAGTCCAAGCCAAACTCCCCCAGGAAGGCTGGCAACCAGCGGCAGCACAGCCACACTGCTTCTCACTCAGTGCCTGAGGGACGGAAAATGATGAAGACTCCCCCCGTAGGCAGGAATGTTTGGAAGGAAATGTTCCAGTTTCGTTCCAAAATTAGAATTATTCAACTAAGCCTGTATGGCTATTACCCAGCAAGGTCTTGATTAGTGTGTTTAAATTAATATCTAATTACATACCCTCCTTTTCACCTTTCTTGGAAAATAAACTGATTTCCCTGTAGAGTTCACAATAGGGGACAGGACAGTTAAAATTATCTTGTAAGAAATTTCTTTGTCCAGTTTTGATATCTTGCCCTCCCATTTACTTTTATAGTTGATTCGGAGAAAAATAAGAAGCCCAGTTCATGCATGTGATGTTGGAGTTACCCACTGCCTTTATTCCTACTTTTGCTACAGCAACAGAAATAGTCATGAAATATGATTTTTTTTTTTGGTCTTTATTGAAAACTTTTCAATATAAACTTCCAAGTGACAGGTAATCCACGCAGCATCATATTTGGCCTTAAAAGTTCTATGCAGGCTATGCCTTGGTTAAAAACTGCTGCTTGAATTAAGGCAGCATCCCAGCATTTGAAAATGAATTCTGTGTATTCATATTCTATTGGGATTGCATATGCTTAAAATAAACATATACAGTAAACCTATTCTGTACAATGGTCTTTGGTTCACTTTTTGAAACCGGCAATTCTCTTTTGCCTTCATGAATTGAATATATTTATAATTGTGTTGCAGTTTTTATATACATTGTATCCTCATTATCCTATGATAGTTAGAAATAAGTTGTGGTACATTAGAATTACTTTGTTTGATGCCGTTTTTGTTAGTTCTTCATCAGAAATTTCTGCTGAGGCAGTTTCAATCATTTTTTTCTAGTTTGGAAAACTTTTTCAAAAGAGGAGAAATTTCTGAAAAATTCAGAGGGTCAGAATTCTTGCTGCTATCCTGCTTATGAGGAAAATGTATGTGTGTGGTGTCTGACATTGTACTAGCATCTGTGGCTATCACCTGCTGCAACCTGGAGCTTCCCTCATATAAATAGGAGAAGATCTTAAGGAAGTAACTATTCCCACAGGGCTTCTTCAGATCAGGAGGTGGCAGGCGATAAGGGAAACTGCAGAGTGGTGGAGAGATAAAATAGAAAGAAAAACCAGATGGAGCTATTTTGGCCCAATTAGGGGAAATACTGATGTATTTTTAGAATAATTTCTTGTCAATCAGTCAGACTTTGTTTTCTATATTGCAGGATGTTTGATGTTGGAGGCCAGCGTTCAGAAAGGAAAAAATGGATTCATTGCTTTGAAGGTGTTACAGCCATAATTTTTTGTGTGGCACTTAGTGATTATGATTTGGTCCTTGCTGAAGATGAGGAAATGGCAAGTAACCTGTTTTGAAAACATTTTACCTAAGACAGTTGCAAAGACTTTTTCAGAAAATTAATCTCTAATCTACTGCTTTTCTAGCAATACATCATTTTAGTTAGTCTAGAAGTGTGTTGATTAGAGGTGGGAGCATTTGTATACGAATACAAATATTTCCATGCACCTAGACTTAATGAGGGTCCACTCTTGGGGCGGGACCGTCCACTCACATGGCCGGTGCCAAACCTGCTCATCCTTCTAATCACGCCTGGAGAGCCACTCTCTTCCCGCTCAGCTGGCCGTTCGGCAGCTGTGTAAGGAGACTTGTTCTCCCTCCCCCTGGCCAGCTGAGCAGGAAGAAAGTGGTGCTCCAGGCATGATTGGAAAGATTGGGGGCACCGGCAGCGTCAGACACGTGAGTGGATGGTCTGGCCCCGGGGGGTTGCACCCTCGTTAAGTCTAGCTGCACGGGGATATTCATGTTCTTATATGACTAAGAATACCCCCATCTCTAATGTAGATACTTAGAAAATATTGATGGAAGGAACTGCATAAAAACTTCTCCCCATTGCCAGGATGTCCATGAAATGACTGATATTTCAATCAGTTGTATGTCCAATACCATGGATGTTGCACACACATTTTTTTCCAGATAGGATCATGGCCTGTTATCTTTTTATCAAATAGTAAAATAGTGTTTGAGCAAGCTAATTTAAATTTTATCTTTGACATAATTATTAAATAAATAATAGCTTCATGTTTTTATTTTCCATACATAAATAGATTGTAGATGTAGCTTGTACTCTTTTAAAAATGGTCTTCACAATTACTGAAATTTTGAGAGAAACAACCATATTCCTGTGGCATCTTAAACATGTATAACATTTTTAAAGCATACCCATTCATCTGCAGTTGGCTACTGGTATATGACAGAATGGGTTATAGTCCAGATAACATAATGCTATAACAGGGTTTAGGGTGTCTCAGGACTCTAAATTGTTACAGACAGTTAGGAATGGACTGAGGGAATGCACTAAGTTGTGAATTGAGTATCTTGTTTACTCTTCCTTTGCTCTAACCTATTTTGCTATTGAGTTCCAGTCTCCTTGGCAAATTAGAATAAAATTCTAAAACTATTACAGAGGGGAATATAGATATCAAGAGTTTAACAGTTTCTCTCTAATAATGCAAAATTAATTTGTCAAATTGCATATATAATTTAATCTATTGGGAAACCTACAAAACTTTGTAAATGATGAACATTATTTTTATGATACAATAAACTGTGTCCCTTATGATTTATGGAAAATGAAGTAGTGTTCTTATCTTGCTTCCAGCTAACCCATCAGCAGATTAGAAAATAATCTTTATATTAAAAAATCCCAGAAGCAACAATTGTGTAATACAATAAGGGAACTTTAGTTGGATACTGCGTCATTGACAAATCATAGTTGTATTTATTTCTACTTATCACAGTTATATTGCTTCCATAAGGCAGCAAATCCTTCCATGATAATTTACATCAACAGCCATTAATAAAATCACAAAAATATTTGTTTACTCAGTAACTGAAATCCTGTTTCACAGCTTTGCATGCCAAACAGGGATGACATCAGCAGCGGCAGCATTATATCACCACTGATTAAAGGTAAAATGTGACTGGTTAAAGGTGATTTCGGAATGCACACAACTGGTCCCCAATGCAATGAAGTCACATATACCTCGAAATCCCCAAAGGAAACCCATAATCATGATGGTTTGCAGTTGCTACTGATGCAATCCTTTTGTGCATTTGGAGCTATGCAACAGGGTTTCAGCCAGTATTTGTTTACTCAGCCAGCGAGATGATCATGGGGCTCTTACTGACACCAGGTGAGCAGATTGGGATCTGCTACAGCAAGCTACACCTATAGATACATATACTGTCTAACATCAGACAACTAACCATAAAAAATATTTCTATAATTTCAGTACTGCTTTTTTTCATGCGACTGTGAGGCTGAAGTGTGAAGGAATGTTGTCATACTTTATGTCGTATTGATCTTCCAAAACTTGTCAGAGGGCTCCCGCCCTCTGACAAGGCAAACACTGTATCATCTCCAACTCCACGAAGATAAAAACAGAAGGGGATCTCGTATTGTTTTGGAGTTACAGAATCAAAATAATGTCCCGTTTGAATTGGCTGCTGCACTTGTGAAGAGTTAAATAACTGGGAGAATATCAGGATACTCAATGTTAGGAAAAGAGATATTTTTGCTGTTGCTATGGAGAGAGGGTTGAACTGATATATCATCTCTTTCAACTGCAGAACAGAATGCATGAAAGCATGAAATTATTTGACAGCATCTGCAATAATAAATGGTTTACAGATACTTCTATTATCCTCTTCTTAAATAAGAAGGATCTCTTTGAAGAAAAAATCAAAAGGAGTCCTCTTACTATTTGTTATCCAGAGTATCCAGGTATTTATATTTTAATGTGGAATAAAACAACACAGGGATGTTAGAATGGAGACATCTTGATTTGAAATCACTGAGTGTAATAGAAAAATTTTGTAAGTAACAATTGTTGTCTAGCAGTATTTGGTACTGCATCTCAGACACATTGGCTGTACAACTTATATGCTCTGATGTGACCTATAACATAAGGTGGTATATACTAGCAATTGGTATAGTTTTATGATCATATTAAATAAATCTATATGTGACATCCCAAAAACTTAACTGTGAATTATTATACCGGGTGCCTCTGAGAGATGCATTAGCAAGCAGGAATGTACTACCACATCTATTTTCCACCTGAGGTCTTCCACCAACTCCAAACCAGCCTGAACTCAGATTGAAGAAGATTGAGATAATCAGTTTCATCCAACAAAAGCATAGAACTGCCCTGCTATCCCTATTGCAACACCATACTTTAAAAAGAACATTTTGAAACTGCCTGATAGTTATTTAATATTTTAGGATACAATAAAGGCCTCTTCAGCAGACATTTTACAACCATTTCTAAAAATTTGGAACATAACTCTTTCTAAAGTATTTAAAACCTAAAACATCCAACTTGCCAACTCCCCTCTAGCAGATATCATTAGGCAGCATAGATATATGTCAGTAGTTGGCCCCACAGCTCCAAACAGCTGTTCAATGTCCTCATATTGAACAAATTGGATGTCCTCTATCAAAAATTATCAAGTTGCCTCATTGGAATATTCTTGTAATATGGAGCTCATGTCTGAGCCGCCTTGAGTGCAGTTTTTGGAGAAGGCCAATATATGTCAGATAAATAGGAACAGTTTTGCCAACCAGAGTGTTTTATAAATTCACCACAACGATTAATAGTACTTCGGAGTGAATGTGTCACTCATCCAGGTCATCTCCCTGCCCCACTGGTGAATTAGGGCTTCAACAGAATCACCCGTTCTAGCAACTGAAAAAGTCATCCAGGGATTCAGAATTTTTCTGATTCGTCTCTGAAGGTACACTACAATATTTTAATAGGTTCACTAGCCCTACAAAGTGTAGGATTCCCAGAAAATAAAATCGTAATACTTAGAGATCTGTCCACTATAATATAAACTCTGCTAAATAAGGAACAGTCTTTTCTAGTTGGTGAGTCTCAAACCTGTCTAACAACAACAGTTTTGGAAAAAAGGAAAGCATAGGTTGCAAAAAGTATTCCAGTACCAGTATATGAAATTGCAAACTAGGTGCAGTGGCTCTTTGGATTATCTGATCTGATCTCCCACATATTTTTAGAAATGTGAATGCATAGCCATTAACAGGACAGTATTTTTAAAAATGCACATGCTGGGAAAAACCTGAGCAATCCTTCAAATTTTCAGAGGCAGAAAAGGGGAAATTAGTTATTGTTAGCCTTTTTAAAAGTAATGTACTACAGTGTTTTGTTTCAGAATATTAATCTTGTGCATTTTACCATTATTTTAGGGTCAAATACATATGAAGAGGCAGCTGCATATATTCAGTGTCAATTTGAAGACCTGAACAAGCGAAAAGACACAAAGGAAATTTATACTCATTTCACATGTGCCACAGATACTAAGAATGTACAATTTGTCTTTGATGCTGTAACTGATGTTATCATAAAAAATAATCTGAAAGACTGTGGTTTATTCTAAATACTTATATCAAATTGTAGGTTTTTAAAAAAATAACCAAATGAGTTCACCACTTTTTTTTAAACACCATTGATACTTTTTGAGTTTGTTCTTATTTATGTTATTTGATTTATCTTGTCCTGGATTAGATTGTAGAGCCATTTCACAGAACTCAGATCACCTTATATGGTATATGGTAACAGAAGCAAAATAATGGCCAGATCAATATAATACTTGGTCCTTTGAACAGTTTTATTTATGTTTATTATATATGTTTAAATACCATGAGCCAGCAGTTAAAATATTTTGACTGTGTTTGCTTTTGAGTGTATGTGTTTTGTTAATAGAAACTTTGAACAAAATGTTTTAATAATATGAATTTGTAGAGTTCCATGGTTAAAGAATTATTGTTTCTGTAAGACAACTTTGGTTTTTTATCTTTCTGATTTTCCATTATTTAAATAGATTCTTTAAATATAAATTTCTGTATGAATGTTTTTTGTTACATTTTGTTTATATATCTGTAATTTGTAGGGAAGAGTTTTTATTGCATAAAGGATTATTTACGCTTGCTCAGGATTAAATGGGAATGTCTCTAAATTTTCTGAGTTTGTGTTCCTCAAACTTTTAGAAATCCCTTTCTGATATTTTAAGGAACGTCAAATGTTATATTTTTCTTTGCCAGGCATTTAACAGAACCTGGAATCCGTCTATGCTGTAATCCAGCATTGTGGAAGCAAGATGCTCATGTACATGGGGAAAAGGTATTCCCTGTACATTTGTATTAGAAAGTGTAACATTGGGAACCTAATGCTTTTCTGTCTGGATTATTTTGCAGCTGGTTGATATTTATTTGGAGTGCCTTTTTGTTAGCTTGTAAGTATCTCTGATGTAAATTACTAAAAGAAAATATCCTAGAATTAAAGTGAGGAAGGAGTTTTAGATTTCCTGCAGTTTTACCACGTTTGGCTTTCTTTGCTTTTTCTCAGGAGATTGGCCATTACTTTTACCTGTATTCCATTAAGTAGTTATGTTGTCTTACAAAGTATTTTTACTCAGATTGGTAGGAACAGTGTTTATTATAATCAAAAGACAGAGACAGTCTTGGGAATGGATTTGTGTCAGAGTAACTTAATACAGTACAGCTGTTGGAATCTAGAAAACCCCATCCATATATGCAACAACATTCCATTCTCAAATGGGAGAGAATATATGGCAGATATTCTATTGGCACTGGTCTGGAGAGCCCCTGACCTTCAGAGTTAGTTTTGAGCAACGTATGTGCTGTTGCAAGTGTAAATCTAGAATATGTAGAACAGCAGACATAGAAGGGGCATTTCTCATCAGTCACTCCAATTCCTGAGAAGACAAGCTGTTACCATATACTTGCTGCTTCAGGAACAAGAACTTCTGCAAGAAAATCCAGCTTGTATTAATCTTACAATTATGTAAAATCACTTTGATTCACTGCCTTATGGTAGTACATACAGAGGGTTTTTTAATGTGTACAAACATAAAACGAGGTTTTGAAAATAAGTATTAGTGGAGCTTTCTTGGTTCTGTTGTCTGAAATACACACATAACCAAGTTGCAAATGCTGCTTTCTGTTAGTGTGTTGCAGGATTTTTGAAATAATGTGTTTACAAACTCCAATTTTTTTCTTTTCTATTGTAAGGGAAAAAAATTCTAAAGCAAGCTGTTTAGTGTTATCTATGACTGAACACTTCCAAACATAGCAGATCCCTAATATTTATTAATCTAAATAGTCAAATTAACATTTGATAATATCCTTGAATTATGCACATTTGAATCTGAGACATCAGTATTAATCGCATTGGCATCCTGGCTTTCCTCCAAGAAAATGAAGGCAGTGTGTAAAAGAGTAACCAGGGAAAAGTAATCCTTTTACTAAGGGGAAGAATAGCATTTGGTTGAACAAGTATAAACCAGACTTGCTTTCTGGGAAACGGTTTCGCATAAGTGTTCTGAAACAGTCGTGCAACATAGTACTAAAGTCATAATTATGTCAGCTGTTGTATTTGGTAGTAATTGTATCTATATTGTTACATTAGTTTTTGTACATTGCAGTTTTTTAAAATCAAGAAAAATTACAAGGAGATTTCAGTCAGATTTATTTGTGCCTTGTCTTGAAAGAAATATTTTTTCATTAAACACAACTGATGGAAAGCCTTCTGTAACCATAAGTGAAATGAAGAGATAATAAAGAATAAGTTTTACAATGTGGAAATACAAAAACATTTTTGTAATAATTGCTTTGGTGTGTTCATAATTTGACTAATCATTAATATTTCCTCCACCGTACCACTACTTAATGTTCAATATAAAACATCTATTTCAATATATTCTCTGAATCTTTTTTAAATGTATGCCAATATGTTGAAAGTACCTTTGCTTGTTTGCTTCTGCAACTAAGTAATATTGGTAAAAATATAAATAACCTCAAAAGCAATAGTTATCATAATGGGGATAGTATTATTTGTAACCAAATAGGTTTGGTTCTGCTAAAATCTTGAATTTTCATTTGAACAATTATAGTTCATATATGGGTACTGTGCTAATGATTCAGTTGAACAGCCAGCATTACAGTGGTGCCTCGTTTAACGAGCGCCTCATTTAACGACAAATCCGCATAATAACGGATTTTTGTGATCGCATAATGATGTTTCTAATGGTAAAAAAATCGCTTTCGATGATCGGTAAGCTGTTTTGCTTACCGATTTTCACATAGCGATGTTTTAAAAACAATTGGTCGGCAGTTCCAAAATGGCCACCGGAAAAATGGGCGCCCTATGTTTTCGCACCAATTCCTCGCATACTGGGCAGTGAAAATGGCGACTGTATGGAGGATTTTCGCTTAAAGGTGAGTTTTAAGCCCATAGGAACACATTAAACAGGGTTTAATGCATTCCTATGGGCTTTTCCTTTTCGCATAGCGACGAATCCGGATAGTGATGATTTTTCTGGAAGGGATTATCGTCGCTATGCGGGGCACCAGTGTATTTGTCAAATGAAATTGTCATTTAGCAAATGGGCTGGCTATTGAAATGAAAAAAGGGTACCACCTGGACTTTGATTAAAAAATTCACTGCTGTCATAGGTGTCAACAAAAACTCAACCTGAGTAATGTTTCTTAACCTGTTCACAGAGTGCACTATTAGTGTATATTCTGCTGTGACTGGTGCTGCATTAAGGAATAATTGGATGGGTAAGACACCTGCATCTTTTCAGTAGCCATCCTTAGTAAGTAAAAGAGTGGCGGTAGGGCCCTTCTAGTTCTGGATCAGCTACCCTGAGATACGTTGCATTGGGATAAACAGGTTTAAATATTTGATCTGGAGAATATTTTGCGGATGGGTAGAATTATATTCTATGGACTAGAATGAAGCCCTTTTCATGACAGATACTAGATATACTTGTAACAAAGTCAATTGCTGTTGAAAAATCTCCATGCTGAATTATGTCTTGCACAGAAATCATTTGTATGAGATACTGTGTTGCTCAGTTTCTGCTGAATGCAGCAGAACCGAGTAAGGATAAAGTGTTGGTGGTTTCGTAGTCTATACAGCCATTTGAAGTGGTTGTTCTGTTCATCAAATTAAATTGCACGTGCTCACATTTTTTCATGTTAGCCTGGTCCAGGCTTTCCAGTATGTTATAAGCACTTCCCATTGCAACATTTTAACATAGAGGGCTGTCAGACTATATCTGGTGTGCACCTGTCTGGGTTTTTCCCCCCCTCTCCTTGATGTTGACTACTCTCACTAGGGTAGTTCACTGCAGGCTGAAATAATGTAGCAGCAAGTGCACAGATGCAACTGAGAACACGAAGACCTGGATACTTTCTCCTCCCCGGTTTGTCTTTTACTTTGTCTTCTACTGTGTCTGTAGTTCTCCCCCTCACAGCCAGTACGAAGCAAGAGATGTTAGTCCTATTTCCAAGGCTGCTTCATGGCTTACATTACACCACCTTTTAGCATGCAGACTTGCTGTCTGGCAAGTGAGATGATTTTTCAGCACAGATCAAGTGAATGCAGTTGTAAAGACAGTACTGAAGCATCTCCAGTGACTAGAAGCACACCTGAGAGCTGGCAATAGCACCCAGTGGATCCCTACAGCAGAAGCTTGCTAACCCCAGATTCATTTGAAGATGTGAGATTCATGAGTCTTATACAGGGTAAAAATAAATGAGTAGGCATACACTGATGGAACAGGGAACAGTCATTCATGACATTTATTGAAAGATGGTTGCCAGCTTGTGGCACAGTATGGAGTAACTGTTGCAGAAGAATCTTTCACCATACCGGTTCAATGTATCTCCAAATATTAACACCACAAACAAACAAACAATGATGGACTCTGCTTTGTAAAAAAAATAGTGAATTCTTACTGATATATTGATCAGCCAGACTGTTCCTCAGAGTGGCTGCTCAATGGTGAAGTCACCTGTAGACTCTACTGCATCATACAAGCAGCATTGTCAGATCTCATGTACGATTTCTGTGGTGGTCATGGCAGCAGTATATCTCTGATAGCTCTAAAAGGCAATCTAGTATAAGCCATCACTGCTCTCATTGTTTGTTCAAATGACAGATCTAGTGACGTGGTTTAGATCTAGTCACTTCCTAGTGCATTGCAAAAATCAGAACTGCAGCTTTAGGTGTCTCAAAGTCCACTCAGTCAAAGTCAGCATCATTTTGTTTGTGTCTTTGCCTTCCTGAACAGAAGTAATAGAAATCATAGAAAAGGGCATCCCCAGTATCTATAATGCAAAGGGGAGAATGGCTGGTTTTCATGCTGCACTCCACACATTTGAGAGTGATAAGCAAACAGCTTGGTCCTTGTTGTTGTTGCTTAGTTGTTTAGTCATGTTCAACTCTTCATGACCCCATGGACCAGAGCACACCAGGCCCTCCAGTCTTCCACTGC